TATCAATCTGTGAAATAGAGTTCCATCATACCGATCCTGTACCTACGCCATACTTTGACTAGTGCCAAGAGTTCTGATTTTTGGTATTAAAAAATTTACGATTTATAACACAATTAAATTTTTTTTTTTTTCAATTTACGTTAATCGTCGATCACTGTTTCGACCCGAGTGCAGTTTTCGAAAACAATCCTCATGTTTCAGGATTCGCAATATTTCTCGTGTCTCGCGTTCTGTCATAAGCGTTCCTCGCTTTTACGTCTTACGAAGATTTTTGTTTTTTATTAGAAAAAATGTTTATTTTCATTCCCTATATTTTCGTCCTCGGGTGATTGCGTTAAACGGCTTTTTGATATTAAAGACGGTAAATAATAATTTCACTGAATTAAACGTCGCCGCATATCCGCAAGTTTTCTCGTGGACTCTACCTTCTTTAATGGTGACGTAATTGTGAGAGGTGTTCGATCGTAAATTTTAAATTAAGTATGAAATAAAGCCTCGCTCTATATACTTTCAATTTAGATTACTTATCAGTGGCGCGACTTGATGGTTATTCAAATTTAATACTTACGGGATTGATATGGGAATTTTTAATGGGGGACCCGTACAAGTTCAAAAATTATTACAGCAATGACATTTGTACAGGTTGCTTATAATAAATTTCAAAATTTCTCAATTATCGTGATACAGATTCAATTTGACTGCGATATCACTTGTCGTAGACAATCGGGCATTATGTAGAGACCTCGTATACAATATACCTTTTTCCGCGACGCTGCCGTTACACGATAAACTCATTGGAGATCTCAGATTATCGTACGTGTCGGAAGAAAATCCTGAGAACCGTAGCTTCGACTAAATCTCCAGTGTATAGGTACTTATATAAGGCTTTTGGTATACATTATATATATATATATATATATGGCTGTACAGTATATACGTAGTACATAAAACTATATAAATTCCAAGGGTCGGCAACGAGGAGACGAATAAAAGATTGAATCGCTTTTTTTTCCCCGTCCTTATGTAATTCGCAAGGCGAACTTAGTTAAAGTAGTTAAAGACAAAGTAGAACAGCTTAAGAGCTTTATAAACCAATGCTGCAAAGCCTCTTAAGACTATCATCATTTTCAACTCGTCTAACGAGATACACACTCTCCATCCGTAGCTTTACTGCCATTATGAACACGTAACAAGCTTTTCAGCGGTGCCTGTCCCACCTACGTCGAGCAATCAGCTCACGTCAAGTGGTATTGAACTGGGAGAAATTTGCAAAAGAAAAAAAAACAAATTTTTCACGATCCCCGATACATTGACTCGTGGCTTTGCGTAGGTGACTCGGTGACGAGTGTCAGTGAGTTCGTCAGCAAACCCGAAAATTCGTCCCTGCCCGAGGGCTCGAAACGACCTCTTTAAGAAAACGAGAGGAAGGTATAGAATGAAAAAAAAAAAGAAGGAAATAGAAAGGAAAAAACGGACCAGTAAAGAAATCGTAACAGCCTACAAACGGATCCCTCCCGTCTCACGCGTATAAGAAAACACGTTTCAACAATCTAGAGGCTGTCAAAGGTTTTCTGGTAAAATCAACAGCACCGTTGAGGATCAAAAATTTCAGTCGTGCACTGGTACATATAATATGCCTATACATATATACGATACGAATCCACATAATTATGGAAATTCCGCCAATGTCCAATGTAACGGGCATTATAATTTTTTTTTTCTCTCTCACCGATTATTAATCACTGTCGAATATTACGCCTCCACCGTGCACCTTCGATTTACAGAAGAAATTCAAATTTCCACCCACAATATGCACCCGTTATTATATCTCTGCATGTACGAAGTGGTATCACTGTTATCACTAGGGCGTATCAATTCGATCTTGGTAAACCATACATACATATATATATATGTATATATATATATATATTTATTTCCTCGTCACTGACAGTCAATACAGGGATGAATAATTTTCACTGTTTTACTCGGTACGTTATCAATGCCAATTTCTTATCATAACGTAACACTTGTTATTTTCGCGTAATCGCCAAGGACGCATCAAGACGCATCCACCGCGACGATCAGCGTACTGGCCCGCACCCCGCTAGAGTCAACTCCGTTTCGCTGTGCTGGGGGGTTGAAGGGACAGGCGAGGGGTGGTGCGAGACTTGCGGCTGCGCGCTTTCGAGTCTCTTCAACCCATTACATTCTCTCGCTCAGCCCCTCTCCCCCCCCCCCCCCGCCCCCCCCCCCC